TAAGAAAAATGTTTCAAATACTTAAGTATTTGACACATTTTTCTTATTTACATTACATTTATGCAGCATTATAAAGTCGGATTAGATAAAAGGTATACAAAGTAAATAGAAACAGAAACTATAGAGTAAAATAAAAACATTCTTGCCAGAAATTTTTGCTCTATGAAGAAACAATATTTTCTGGTAAAATGTAGTTGTACATTATCTATGAGAATACGGAAACTCAAAGAGGATCTTAAGATCCTGTCACCAAGAACCGTTTAACAATACAATAATAAACCAATTATTTCAAAAAAATATATAAAATGAAAAGTAAATACCGTTTAAGAAAGCATACATACAAAAAAGATTAGGTATCTCAAATATAAAACACTGTTTAACAAAACAATTAAAAATCAAATCAAATGTTTTAAATTACATTTAGTCCTGAAGTGGTCTTTCATGGAGGAGGGGGAGGGGGTTGTATGTATTTTTTTGCCAACTAGAAACAACAAAATAAAATAAAAAAAATAAATAAAAAGGTCCTCATTACTTGCAATTTGCTAACTATAGTTCAAAACTTGCTCAATGTGCTAACGCAAATGCTTATATGACAGTTTTGGGGGAGGGGGAACATCCCCTACTATTCCAAAAATGGAATATTAATTAGACGCCATTTTTTGTACTATCTTTAGTAAAAAAAAATATATTTATATATATATATATATATATATATATATATATATATATATATATATATATATATATATATATATATATATATTTATATATATACCCAACCTTTTGAGTATGATTTTTATCTTTTTTATAAAAGGGTTAGGGTTGTATATTTTAACAAGAAAATGGTTTATTCAGTTTGTTTTTTTTTTAAATTGATTTTTAATGTTATTGTAGTTTTTAATCAATCTTCCGATGTGCACTTGAAACTAATTTAATTTTTTATTTGTTTGTGTTTAACTCTTCCACAGCTAAGTTTGAATTAAATTTTTGTAAAAAAGCACAAGTTTCCTATTAGAGTATTCCCATGGGTCACATGACTCAAGAAACGTTGCCATTATGAGAGGATAAAAATGTAAACAAAGCCTATATAATAAAAAAATATATCAAAAGGATTTTTAAATAAATTTTTAGGGCAGCATTTTATTGCACATAAAACTTTATAAAATTTAATTTATAATATATAATAGGTGTTATAAAATATATATCGAAACTAACTAAAAAAATAAACAACCAGAAAACTAGATTTTTTAAACTTTTTGGGATTGTAAAATATGACAAAGAGTCTTGTTCTCTTTGACTTGATACCGGTTAATTTTTTATTTCAACATTAGATATAATTGCTCATTCAGTATGTGCATTGGTTAACTTTAGTGGTATTTAATTAGCAAATAATTTGTACAATAATTTAAAAATGTATATTAAATAACTTTTCTTCTCTCTCTCTCAACATTTTTGTTCAACAGTTAATAAAGTTTTTTTTTTTCTCCACATTCATTTTTTTACTTTTAGAATGTTTGTTTAAATGTATAATATCCCTAAATGTTTTTTTGTCTCAAATCATTTACCTTCATCAAATTTTAATTTTACAATGTATATTGGTACAATCGTATGGCCATAATTTGAACTGATGTGACAGTAACAAATTAGAAATGATAAAACTTTTAATGTGTTCATGTTGACTAGTTTCAAAATTAACCTTTTTGATTTGATTAGTTATAATTGATTATTTTTTTCTAACTAACGATAACAAGTTTTTCAATTTCAATTATATCTTGCAATGGTTTTTTCTATAATTGTATAGAAATTTCTAAGCACATTTTTAATAAAAAGGACACCTAATAACAATCTGGTACTTTAAAACTATTTAGAAAGATTCAGAGTACTCATGAGCTGATGCAAGATTATTCATAAAATGGCTGCCTTTAGTTTTGATTTATAATTAAAATAACATTTTGTTGTTAACTTTGCTGGTAGGTTTGTTAAGAATTATAATAAGTTACTGTTTTAAATTCTCACAGATTTTTTTTTTTTTTTTTTTTTTATTTGCATTCACTCCCAACAAGGCTGCAAGCAACCACTATTAAGTTGGGAGTTACTAGGAAAAAAAAAAGAACAGAGTTATAGAGCAAGGAAACGGTTGACAGAAGACTTGAAAAGTTGAAGGTTGTATGAGTCAGGAAAACATGAAGATGGGAGAGAGTTCTAAAGGATTGAAGTGCGGGGAAAAAAACTAGATGAATAAAAGTTTTTAGAGCATGCAGGGACAGATACAGTAAACGAATGAGACTTAGCTGAATGACGAGTAAAACGAGAATGAATTTTAGTTGATGGAACTAGAGATGATAACTCCTTTGAGCAGTGACCATGATAGTATCTGTAGAAAAGAGAAAGAGATGCAACTTTACGACGATGGGAAAGAGGTTCAAGCTTAGCAGATAGTCCAGGTCTAACAACATTTACAATGCGTTTTTGGACCTTGTCAAGAAGAGAAAGTGAATTGTTAGAAGAACCAGCCCAAATATGACAACAGTATTCCATACAGGGACGAATAAGAGATTTGTAGAGGTAGAGAATGGAATCAGAAGTAAGGAAATGGCGAGCACGATAAAGAGAAGCAACCTTAGCAGAAGCTAATTTAGCAATCGATTGTATATATGGTTTCCATGAAAGGTCAGTAGTAAGCGATAATCCAAGAAGACATAAAGAGGACGACTCAGTAAGAGGATTGCCATTTATTAATATAAGAATGTTGACCATATTACGGTAGTTGTTTGCAGTAAGCAATTGGGTTTTTTTAGAGTTGAAATTCACAAGCCACTGTGAACCCCAATCTATTACTGAAGTGAGATCAGATTCAAGATCAGCTGCTTGTTCTAGGCGATCGAAAAGAGAAGACTTTTTGTCAAGACAGGAGTATAAAGTTGAGTCATCAGCAAAAAGAGCTACTTTAGATGAAAGGTTGTCAGGAAGATTGTTTATGTAGATAAGAAACAAAACAGGGCCCAGGATGGAACCTTGGGGAACCCCAGAAGTTACTGGAAATAAAGAAGAGTGTTGGCCTTCAAGGATGACTTTAATAAACCGGTCAGAAAGAAATGATTTGATAATCTCAAAAACTTTCCCAGAAACACCATATTTATCAATCCAAAATAAAACTGCAGCGATATGTGTAGATGCTTCAGCAAGGCTTCCTTTGCAATTACAGTGTGTATATTAAATTCTGTAATTAATTTGGGTATCATTTAGATTTTGAGAATGAAACACCAAAAAAATTTATTAAATATGTTATTTCTTATTTAAATGATTCAATGATTTATAGATCTTCTTATCTTCAAATGTATAAGAACTTGATAAAACTAATAGATAATTTGATAAACCAGTGTAAGCTACAGATGGAAAGGTTTCTTTATTGTTTTTGAATTAGTTATTTGAAATTGAGCTATTGTCTATGTTCCTTTGTATAAGATTTGAGATCATATCTGTTTTTGGAAGGTACATCCAAGGATTATCTTTTTCCGGATATTTTCAGAATTCTGAATATTTTTCTCAACTTTTAGTTTTTCTGGATATCCAAAACATTTTCCTTACATACAAGTTTAGGTGTATATTTTTCTAATATATTTGTTTTTTATGCTTTTTCACTCATCACTCATACAAAAATTATTAAAAAATTGGAAAAAAATTTTGAAACAACTCAGCTAAATTCAAAATTAAGTGGAAAATATGGGAAAATATATTCCGGATTTTTTTTGGATATTATATACCCAAACAATTTTACAGATTTTTAAAATAAGACCTGGATGATCTATGGGTACATCTAATGATTTGTAGTACGACATTTCTTTCCTGTAAATTAAGTAATCAAACTTGATATTAATTTTAAAACTTGGTTATTATACCACATTGATATTAAATATTATACTATTATTATTACTATTTTTTTTTTTTTTTAATTATCTTCACTTCCAACAAGGTTGCAAGCAACCACTAATTAGTGTTGGAAGTTACTGGAAGAGAAAAGATGAAGATTGTAGAGCAAGATAACGATTGACAGACGACTTAAAATATTGCAAATTATATGAATCAGGAAAGCAAGATGAAGGAAGCGAATTCCAAAGAACTGATGTTCGAGGAAAAAAACTAGACGAATAAAAGTTTTTGGAGCACTTAGGAACAGTAACAGAAAAAGGATGAGACTTAATTGAATGACGAGTAACACGAGAATGAATTTTAGTAGATGGCACAAGAGACGCTAGCTCTTTAGAGCAGTGCCCATTATAGTATTTGTAGAAAAGAGAAAGAGAAGCAACATTACGACGATGTGACAGAGGTTGAAGGTTGGCTGCAAGAGCAGGTCCAACTATGTTTACAATGCGTTTTTGCACCTTGTTGCATGCTATTACAAATGGTATTAGAATTCATACCGCAAACAGTTTGTTTACTTTTTTTATCCTTTCATAATGGCAATGTATGTTGAGTCACGTGACCCACAAGAAGATTCTATTATGTCTATTTTCAAAATAGTATTTTGACAAGACAATTGTTTCTGATACATTTTTTCCCTGTTTTGTCTTTAATAATAAATCTAATAAGTGTATAAATTGTTGAATTTTAAATATTTTCAATTAGTTCTGAATCTCATTAAAGCGGCTGGGTAAATATCTGTATTTATAAAACAACAACTTTGATTAAAAAACTGTAAATTTTGAATGCTCAAGTGGTTTTTTTAAATTTAATAGTTCAGATAGAATAATAATTTAGAAAATTATGTTTTATTTAGTTTTATTTGGATTGACTGTAACATATTTATACGTAATTATACATAATTTTAAAACGAATGCGAAATTTTTATATACATTAATATATATATATATATATATATATATATATATATATATATATATATATATATATATATATATATATATATATATATATATATGTATATATATATATATATATATATATATATATTAATTGATATATGCATATGTATTTAGGTAAGAGCGTAAAACGTATCGTGTACAGTAACAATTATGTTGAAAACCGTGGTTGCACAAAATATACAGCTCAATGCGAAGAAAGTGCTTATTTTGACTCTACATTAAAAAAAAGAATAAACACGCCTCCTTGTTGCAGAGAAAAGTTGTTAGAGATGTTAAACCATTTTACAAAAGAGCTTCAAGAACTGCATATTACACATATGTTAGCATTTGGATCCGTTCTTGGATGGGCTCGAAATGGAAAAATGGTTCCATATGACGAGGACATTGATTTAATACTTGATAAAGAATTTTGGAAAACTCCATTGTTTTACAATTTTACAAACAAACTAGAAACAAAATATGGATACAAAACATTTTTCACTGATAATGGAGCAAAGTTAAAGATATGCTATAGCCAAACTAATTATAACACAATTGATGTATGGCCTTTTGAAATTAATAAACGTGGAAAGATTGCCGAGGTATCAGTTCCACATAATGATTGGAAAAAACAACCTTTAGAAAACCTTTTCCCAGAACGATATGTAAATTTTGATAATGTAATGACATTTGTACCACGTGATACAAATAGTTATTTAAACATTTTGTATACTAATTGGACGACTGAACTAGATTGCTCATATAAAGAAGACAATAAATGTGTTAACAAGGAAAATTAACACGTTAAAGCATTTCTTTCCTTTGAAAATCGAGTTGCTATTATAATAATTGCATAAAATAAACTTTATAAATCGAAAGATTAACGATTGTCCAAAAATCAGTCATACGAAGATTTAAGTAAACAATTAAACAATAGTAACCAAAAGAACAAAGAATGTGAGTGTGTGTGTGTGTGCGTGCGTGTATGTTTTTGTGAGTATGAGTAGTTGTGTGTGTGTGCTGGTAAGTGAATTGTAAGGCATTTAAGAACTTTGTATTTTTTTTTTACAAAATAATAAAAATTGAAATTCTGCTTTATAAAAATAATAAACTTTGTGTTAACCTTGATAAGAAAATCAACTTTATAGTAATTGGGTAAATATATATTTTTTATCCAATGAAGAAATGTAGTTTATAATTTTATTAAACCACAGATAACATTTCCAAATAACTGTTTCTACTGCCTAAATAACATTAAAATACTATATTTAAGGAGTACATTTTATTAATTCATCTATCAATATTAGAATTCTCTCTCATTTTTCTCTCTTCCAACCATGTGATTTGAAAATATGAGTAAACAGAAAACATCCAAAACAATTTTAATTATAGGTTTTAATTCTTTTGTTTTAACACAACAAACATTTTTAGCCAGTGGACACGGGTACGCTGTTGAACGTACAAAATACATCAGAACGAAATGTACAACTTTAGTTCAGATTTGGTTCAGATTGGAAATACTGATGTATAAATTGCAAATTAGAATTTGAATTTTAAAGTAAAAATTAGACTTAAAAAACTTAATTACAAGTCTATTCTAAACCAAAACTTAATTAAAAATTGTATTTTGAAACTTTTTTTTACAAAATACTTAGACACCATTTCGTTAAAAATATCAACAAAAACTAAAAATGAAAAGCACTCATAAATGATCATTGAGATTTATTATTATAAAAATCTTTTTCTCCTTCTGGTTTACAATCATACCCACCACTTACAGTCATGCCTACATCTTTTCTTTAGACTGTTGCACCTCATCTAGTGTATACTTTGGCATGCTATCTAAAACAATCCAAACATTTATTATATATATATATATATATATATATATATATATAGTCTTGCATGTCTCTTGCGTAGCATCAAAAAATATTTCCCATAAACTGTTGTTTTAAAGAGCGCGTTAATAAACCAGACCAGAAAAAGTTTTAAAAATTAATTTTTTTTTTTTAATTGATAGATTGCCTGGCCAAACCAAACCCTCAGTCGATGTAGCAGCACTCTCTTGCGAGTCAGGCTATTTGTCAGTCGTTGTAGCAGCACTCCCTTGCGAGTCAGGCTATTTGTCAGTCGATGTAGCAGCATTCCCTTGCGAGTCAGGCTATTTGTCAGTCGATGTAGCAGCACTCCATTGCGAGTCAGGCTATTTGTCAGTCGATGTAGCAGCACTCCGTTGCGAGTCAGGCTATTTGTCAGTCGATGTAGCAGCACTCTGTTGCGAGTCAGGCTATAAGATAGTCGATGTAGCAACATTTACGCATGTTTAAAAAATGTTTTTTATTAAATCAATAACAAAAACACCACTAATTAAAAAAAACTTTCTAGTCGTTATAATTGCGGTTTTTTAAAAATTTTTTAAAAAACAATTAAATTTAATGTACTTCCGCATAAATTAATTGCTTTGACATTTCGATGACAATCAAAAACAGCTTAAGAGACGAGGTAATTAAAATTGTAGTCGTAAGAGACTTTTTTTACATTAAAATGCTCTTAAAGCGACACTATATGAGTATATATATATATATATATATATATATATATATATATATATATATATATATATATATATATATATATATATATATACATATACATATACATATATATATATATATATATATATATATATATATATATATATATATATATATATATATATATATATATATATATATAATCTTTTAAAATCATTTCTTTTTATATGATATGTTTATAAATTTATAAATTGATCTCAATAAAAAAGGCAGCGTATAACATATTTTGATATAATAATATATTAACGATATTTTGCTCACCTATTGTGGTTAGCATCATCAGGTAAAGAAAAAAAGTTACAAAATAACAAAAAACCAACCATTTAAAAAAAGAAGACATTAATTCAATTCAATTCAATTCAATATATTCTGAAATAAGTTGTAAAATTTCAAGGACTTTTACAAATAGTACAAGTACTAATCTAAAGTAAAAACCTGCAACATTACAATAAAAGTGATTATAATAACAATAATAATAGTATTGATAATAATTATAGAAATAATATTAACAATAATAATAAGATGACGATGAAAAGGAATATTATTAGTAATAATACTAACAATAATAATAAAGATATTATACAATCAATATTAGATAATAGCAATAATAGTGGTAATAACAATTACATAGTATAAGAAGTAAATAAACTTAAGAAAAAATTAAAAAAGCAATAATAGTACTTATTATGTTATAAATAAAAATAACAATTTACTAATAAAGATTGAAGAATATTATTAATATCAATACTAATAATAACAATAAAAATATGAGAACAAAAAAATAATAAAAAAAATTAGTAGGTATCAAGAAAGTAGTAATAATAAAAGCATAACAACATATTTCAGAGTCTTCAGGTATAATATCTTGCTAAAAAATAGTTAAAAAGACAGTTTTTGAAATTAGTAATAGAGTCAATTGATTTTAATGGTGAAGGTAGGCTGTTCCATGATTATACACTTTGGTATTTTATGGATTTTAGACCATATTTTACAGAAGAATGATTTGGTACATGAAGATTATAGTTATTAGCAGATCGTAGATGATAGCGACAGCTTTCTCTAACAGTAAAAAAATTTGTAAATGTGCTGGGTAGACATTTTTGTTTATAATTAAAGACAAAATGGCAATTTAATAGTTGAATTAGATCATCAATTATTTTGGATAAAAAATAAAGATGATCGGAGTTAGATTGATAATGCTGAAAATATATTATTTTTAATGCTTTGTTTTGTAAGTTGGATAATCTTAAAATTTCTTGGGTGCGGATTTGTCCCCAAACTTGACACACATACCTAAGATGTGATCCAAAAATGGCATGGTATATATTGATAAGAGTTTCAAGATTGACATAATGACGAATTTTAGCTAACATCCCATTCGATCTACATAGTTTTATTGACAAGTCCTTAAGATGCTGAGAAAAAGTTAAATTTGAGTCAATTTTGATTTCAAGATACTTTAGGTACATAACTGGACTGATTTTTTGACCACTCAGCCTAAAATTTAGGTGTTTACTGATTTTAGATTGTTTTGATTTAAAGATGATAATTTCAGTTTAACTAGTATTCAGAGACAGTTTGTTAGATCGAAGCCATTGAATTAGATTAGATAGGTCATGATTAATATATTTGTTTATTTTTTTTAATGATTTATTAATCAAAAGTAAGTTAATGTTATCAGCAAAATGGTAAGAAGTTGTATATTTTAATGATAAATTAAGGTCGTTAATGAAAACAAGGAAAAGCAATGGTCCTAATACAGAGCCTTGAGGTACACCTGTAGTGCATTTTACTAAAGAAGATGTGTTACCGTTGATAGATACAAATTGAACCCTATTATAAAGATATGAGGTAAACCATTGGAGAGAAATTCCTCTAATACCATAGTATTCCAGTTTACTTAGAAGAACAGAATGATCAACAGTGTCAAATGCTTTCTGTAGATCAACAAACACACCACAAGCAAAAAGCTCATTGTCAAGAGCTTTTCTGATAACCTCAGTGATTTCAATAAGTGCATGAGTTGTAAAATGCTTGCTTCGAAACCCATATTGGTGTTTGTCAAGACATTGATATTTATCTAAAAAGTTGTAAAGTCTGTTGTGCGTAGCTTTTTCAAATATTTTATTGATGTTTGACAGTAGCGAAATTGGGCGATAGTTAGTGTGGCCAGTTCTAGAGCCTTTTTTATAAAGTGGAATAATTTTAGCTATTTTAAAGACCTCTGGAAAAAGTCCATTCTTAAAAGAGCTATTTATCATTGTACAAAGAGGCTTCAAAATGATATGGGAAACAAGTTTGAGAATAAACGTGGAAATACTATTGATACCTAAACTTTTTTTACTTTGTAAACTTTTTATAAGATTTGATACTTCTTTTTCAGTGACTGGATCTATAAAAAAGGAGTTAATATTTGGGTTATTTAAATAGTCTGAAAAATTACATTTAGGTGAAACAATTTTTGTTAACAGTGTTTGTTGAGTATTTACAAAGTAATTATTAAATATGTTTGATACAGCTTTGCTGTCTGAAATTGTATTGCCATTAAATTTGAGATTAATAGATTTACTGGAAAAGGAAGAAGGTTTGATATTAATAATTTCTTTTATACCTTTCCAAGTATTTTTTACATTGTAAAGATTATTGTTAAAAAAGTTGATGTAATATGATTTTTTAGAAAGTTTTAGTAAATTGCAAATGTTATTTCTGTACCATTTAAATTTATTAAAAATATGAATTTTAATGTTATGATTTTTTGCTTTTATATATTGTTTATATAGTTTGTTTTTAATAGATATTGATTTTAGAATTCCATTGGTAATCCAAGGTTTTGATTTAAGTTTAATTTGTTTAGCAGTTAGTTTTTTATAGGGTGCATGTTGATCAAGAATTTTGTTAAAAGTTTTAAAAAAATAGTGCAATGATTCATTTACATTATTGTTATTTGTAATTTGTATTTGCCAGTCTGCATTAGAGATATCCTTAATAAATTTTTTATTATCGAAATTTTGGAAGGTTCGCCTGAATATTACCTCCTTAGTTTTTTTGGGAGAAAGACAAGGAATGCAGATAAACTGTGCCATATGATCAGAAATCGATATTGTAAGATTGCCTGAAATTAAATCAGGAGTTTGGAAATTTAAAAAGATATTATCAATGAGTGTCTTAGATGTAGCAGTTATACGTGTAGGTTGAATTATAGAAGGGAAAAAAGAATAAAAACATAATGTATCAAGATAACTAGAGATAACTTTCGATTCATTATAATTTAACAAGTCTATATTGAAATCACCCATAAGGACAACTTGTTTATTTTCTAAACTAAGCCTCTCAAGCAAGGGATTAAAATGATCAGTAATGAATTCATTAGAGTTCATTGATGGATGCCGATATATAGTGCCAACAATAATATTTTGTTTCAGGGGATTGACGATTTCAACAAAGATAGATTCCAGGTATTTCGGAGAGTATACTATTAGGTCACTACGAATAAAATAGTTTAAGTTTGAGCGT